CCAGCATCCCACATCCACATAAATAATGCCTTATGTTACAGTGTGATGATAGTTTGATCATCAATATGTAGTAGAAGTTGTTCAAATAGAAGATTATCTCTTGAAAATGTCATCATCTATTTAGTGTGTATCGATCAAAGTATTATTTTAACAATGTGTTACTGAAACTATAAATAAGATATAACCACCTCAGGAATCTTAGAATATTCTATTTTTGTTGATCACCTCACCTCCAAACTAAGCCCATGCTTTACTCTTTTGGAGTTTCATTGTTTCTCCCCTGACTTTTCTGTATTCTATGATCCTTCATTATTACTCATTTGCCACCAGATCACTCTTTTTCAGTTTTTATCAAAGCAATGTTTATACGATTAAAATAATTGTTTATATTTAATGCTTCCAAGTCTCACATTCAACCATTTATTCCCTTGTTATAGACATTGACTACATTTCCTTACTATCATTTGCTTCATGACTCTATTCTTCCACTTTTCTTATGGGTAATGAGATACTTTCTTTCATATTGTTTGTCTATTCCACATTTATTTTTTGCAAAACCAACATCCCATTTTGGACATCTAATTTTCCTATGTAGATATCATTCACAATCAAGCATTTTTTTTCTGAATCTAATCATTATTCACTTGTGTTTCCTTGAAAAAAAATCACTTCTTTCTTACTAACATTAATTCTTTTTGTAGAGAGCTGCGTGGAGCCACACCTAAAAGATGGCGCTGGCTTCCGCCTTCCGCAATCCCGAAAGCGAGCGCCAGGATCACGCAATGATCGTAAGCTGCTTGCGTATAAGTGAACCTATGGACAGTGCCCATGTGGCAATCCAGGATTGGCTGCCCAGGGCTACTTAAGGGCTGGAAGGAGCTTGCCCAGAGAGAGAAACTATTGTAACAAGGTCCTGAGTAAACTGCTTGCAAGAAGAGCTCCGGTGTTGTGTCTTCCTTGCTGGTTGAGGGGGTCGCGACAAGTAGTGGCCCGTAAGGGGATTCTCCTCTCCTCTCCCTGGAGCCCAGAACTTGCAGTAGTCAGGGGGTGCACCAGTAAGTCCTCAAGGTAAGATTGGGGATCCGTGACAAAAGCGGGTTATTTGCTCTCGCCTGTAAACAAAGGGAGAGTGGGGAAGTAGAGCCGCCACTAGAGCGGACAAATCAAAAGTGAAAGTAAAGCCTACTACAGCAGACGGGCTACAAGTCTGTAGAGCACATTTGGTTCGCTAGCCAGACGAACTGCGGATGAACTGAAAGTAAAATTGCTGGATACTGTTGATGGATTACTACTTGCTCTTAGCAGCTTGGGTACTCTTGAATACAGTGTTCTGGTTCATCGTTTTTACTTATTGCTGTAGGAAGTGTATTGAGAATCCTCAGTGAATAGATATGGGAATTCTCCTTCTCACCCAATTTTTCTGGCTTTGAATGAGCTGCTTCGTTCAAAAAATCTAAAACTTAAGAAAAGTACCTTAGAGAGGTTCCTGGAGGAATGTGATACCACTGCACCTTGGTTTGCAGTCTCCAGGAAGCTTACGACTCCGTCATGGAAAAAGCTAGGTAGAGACCTTGAGTTTGCTGCAGAATAGGGAACACTTAAGGCTGGAGTAAGACCTATCTGGAAATTAGTGAAAAGCTGCCTCGAGGATCGAAAGTTCAGTGAAGCAGTAGAAAATGGCCAAGCAACCTTAGAGATATTACAGGAGGAACGTTCAGAGAGGGCAGCTTCAAAAAACGGCAGCCTCTAAAAAGGCAAAGTCTGATGTGGCATCTGATACAGATTCAGGTAGAGGGAAGAAGAAAAGGGCCCAGGAAAAGCAAAAGGGTCGATTATATCCTAGCCTGTCAGAATTGGAGGAATCAGACTCTTCTGTCTCCTCGAGCTCAGAGACATGGCCAGACCCAGGGACACCAGACACAGAGACAGAAACGGATGAAGATTCTCCCAGACAATTAACCAGTGAAGCTCGACAAGCACTCTCTCTTGTAGAGAAAAAATTATCTAAAGTCTTTTTAAAATGGGTGCAGGCTGAAAAGGATATTGCTTTATGCATTTTACCCACTAATCTACAACCCACGGGTATTCTGTGGCAGGAGGGACCATTAATTTGGATTCATCCCAGGATTTCCCCCGCGAAATCCATAGGATATTATCCTATTGCTGTTGCTTTGCTTGCTCAGCAAGGCATTCAAAATTGCCTGCAACATTTTGGAGTTGCACCATGTGTAATAGTCACCCCATATGATACTAATCAAGTTAATATTTTATGTCCCACTATTGATGATTGTGCTATTTTATGGTGCTTCTATTCTGGGCGCATCGATTGTCATTTTCCTAAGCATCCACTGTTACCCTTTTTTAAAAAACATCCGGTAATCTTTCCAAAAATCACTGCCTTAAGGCCCATTCCAGGAGCCAGTGTTATATTTACAGATGGATCTAAGACTGGCTGTGGTGCTTACATGGTGGACTCCGCAGAACCTGTTAAATATCAGTTTTCTCCTGGAGCTCCTCAGCAAGTGGAGCTAGCAATCGTGGTTGAGGTGTTTAAATCCTGTCCATTTACATTTAATTTAATTTCAGATTCTTGTTATGTTGTTAACGCCTTAAAATACATTGAGTGTGCTGGACCTATAAAATCCTCCAGCCCTGTACATAGGCTATTTACACAATTACAGCTATTACTCTGGCAGCGTAAGAATCCTTTCTTTGTACAGCACATTCGTGCACATACAGGTTTGCCAGGCCCTCTGGCTGCCGGCAATGACAAGGTTGATCAGTGTACCAGACAAGAATGGATGTTTCTTGCCTCTGCCCTGCAGAGGGCTCATTATTTTCATAAAGAGTTTCATGTTAACGCCAAAACCCTACAACAAAAATTTGCTATTTCCTGTGCTGATGCATGCAAGGTGGTTGTGGTTTGTCCACAATGTGTCATACATCATCACCTTCAAACTTTGGGGGTCAATCCGTGTGGATTGCTCCCCCTTAAACTTTGGCAGATGGATGTTACCCATCTCTCTGAGTTTGGCAAGGTAAAATATGTACATGTCTCCATGGATACGTGCTTCAGCATTATCCATGCCACACCCATGACAGGTGAAAAGGCAACCCAAGTGATTGCTCATTGTCTAGAAGCATGGGCCGCCTGGGGAAAACCCCAGCAACTGAAAACAGACAATGGTCCCGCTTATATGGGACAAAAGTTCACTTCCTTCTGCCAACACATGGGTGTTCAACTCATACATGGACTGCCTTATAATCCATAAGGCCAAGGCATTGTAGAGCGTGCTCATTGCTCCTTAAAGGAATTGCTTCAAAAACAAAAAGGGGGAATAGGTCATCAACAGACCCCCAAGAATAGACTTTCCTTAGCCTTGTTTACACTTAATTTTTAAAATTTGGACAATACCAATCAGTCTGCAGTGGACAGGCATTCTTGCCCATCCAGTCCTTTAAAAAGATTGATAAAATGGAAGGACGCTCTGACAGGGGTCTGGCATGGCCCTGATCCTGTGCTGTCATGGGCACGAGGCTCTGTTTGTGTTTTTCCACAGGATCATTTGAACCCTATTTGGGTACTGGAGCGCTTGGTGAGAAAAGTACAAGTGCAGAGGAACGACAAGCAAGATGAAGGCTCAGACTGTGATCCTATTGATGGTGACGGTCCTGATGTCCCCGTTGTTGATCCAGGCCAGTGAACAAATCTTGTGAGCCATAGGAAGAGCATGGCCAATTCCTATACCTGTTCATTCTACACCAAAAGTTTTACCTGTCTTTTTTTCCACTAGTTGTGAATTAGGCTTACCCTACGTAAATTTAGACCCTAGCATGGCTATGTATAAAGCAACTGATGTTCCTCTTCAAGGAGCCTTATGTTTATCTCTTGAAAATAATTCTAACCCATGTATATGGTTGAAAAATAGCTCGGTGGGTAATTGGCTTGACCCATTGACCGATAATCATGTGCCTTTCGCCATGCTCACGGAAGCACTGAAAACAATAAATATGGGTTCTTCCTCAGGCACGGACAGCGGTAAAAACGGTAGTAATGCCACAAGTATTACTACCTTATTGATATTGATGGAAGGGCTTCGGCTTTCAAGTTCACACTTTGGATTAGGGAATTCCACTACTCGACAAGTATTACCTTATTGTGCCCCTAATTTAGGGTACCCCCCTCATTGGACACCACGTCAAAGCCCAGATCATAAGTCAAAGCAGATTGCACAAGGTTTTGAATTTACCCCTCCTTTAGGAAGATATTCCTTTAATCTTGCTAATCGGACTATCAGAAAACTAATAAGAAAAATACTTGGCCCTGGTTTCAATGGATTCTTTCTAATGAAAGAGGGGCCTTTTCATCCCTAGAGCCTTTTGCCGCCCTTCGTAATTTGACTGTCTGGCTACTTAACATCTCTGCCAGCCGAGATACGAAGGGAGTTCTTTCAAATGTTACTATAAATAAAATGATGAACAACCTTACCATTTCTGCCAGTCCAGTGTGCTTAAAGGCACCCTTCTTCTTTTTGCTGACTAATATTACCAATGCCACAGAGGATGTGATCTATTGTAATTCCTCTAAGGCAGCTTGCTTCGCAAGCCAATGCTGGAATGGTACTTACAACACAGCTGTGGTGATGAGAGTTCCACATATGTTCCCATCCCAGTCAGAATTGATACCGGTACCTTCCCAATCGCTCATTTGCTCAGAACAAAATGAGACTTTGGGATAACAGCAGCCCTAGTCTCCACAATTGCTGTATCTGCTGCAGCTGCCACGACAGCTGCTGTTGCCATGGCTGCAACAACTCAGATTGCAGAGACAGTTAACGAAATAGTGGAGAGGACAGCCTCCACAATGGCCACTTTGAAATCTATCGACGGTCATTTAAAAGCTGGCATTTTGACAGCAAACCAAAGAGTAGACCTCTTGCAAGAGCAAGTGGATGGTTTAGTAACCTTAACCAGTGTAGGATGTATTCATTCCCTCTCCTTTTTATGCATCACTTTCAGATTGGCTGAGAATTTTACAAAGAACAGTAAACTGAGCCGGCAGCTGAGCACATACCTCCAGGGAAACTGGAGCAAGGAGTTTGAGAACCTGACGGACACCTTGATCAACCAGATTATTTCCCTGAATGCCATGCGGCTGGAATTACCTACTGCTAATGCTTTTCTTAATCTGCTGAAATGAACTTTTAGTTGTTTTAAGGAGTGGGCGGGAATAAGAGCCCTGACAGGCCTAATGGTGCTTGCCTCCCTGGTATGTCTGTGGTGCATTTGTCGCATGAGAGACTCACAACATCGCAATGCAGCAATGATAATTCAAGCCTTCATGGTTATTGAAGCAGGACAGTCCTCCCAAGTTTGGTTAACTATTTTAAAAGATATATAAGCACAGGATGCGAGGCTTGCGCACTGCACTTGAGGGTAATTACATCTACCTCAAGAAGAGCAAGTCTGATTGCATGTGGGTCGGTGCCTAACTCCCACCTCTGTAAAAAGGGACCAAGCAGGTCTAGTGTTTTCTGGGTGGAGGACACCTGGATAAACAATAGTACATGCTTCATTTTTAACAGAGATCAGACCTCTATTCTTGCCTGTTGCTTTTAAAGCAAAAAAGGGGGAACTGTAGAGAGCTCCGTGGAGCCGCACCTAAAGATGGTGCTGGCTTCCACCTTCTGCGATCCCAAAAGCGAGCGCTCTCAGTGGTAAACAGCACCTTATTTGGCTAAGGCCAGGATCACGCGATGATCGTAAGCTGCTTGCGTATAAGTGGACCTATGGACAGTGCCCATGTGGCGATCCAGGATTGGCTGCCCAGGGCTACTTAAGGGCTGGGAGGAGCTTGTCCAGAGAGAGAAACTGTTGTAACAAGGTCCTGAGTAAACTGCTTGCAAGAAGAGCTCCGGTGTTGCGTCTTCCTTGCTGGTCGAGGCGGTCGTGACATCTCTCCACTATTTTCTCCAATTATTTCATAAATACTGACTATAACTCTACTCTGGTTAATTTTGTCTCTTTAATTGTGAATGAACTACATCATGTACTACTTGTAGATGGACAACATAGAGTAGTCCAACATAGCTCAGAATTGAATATAATAAGGGGTTCTTTACTTACAGACAGACTCATACATCACAGTCCTCTGCACAAGCAGGGAACAGCAGCTGAGAGAGAGAGAGAGAGAGAGAGAGAGAGAGAGAGAGAGAGAGAGGCTATACAAGCTTTACATCTGCATTTATAGTACAAGAGTCCATGCCCCAGGGACTGATATCTTAAAGGCTATTGGCTGAAGGAGTTCCCAAAGCAACTGCTGATATCCAACATATTCCATGATACACAGTAGATCCTGCATAATTCTAATCAGTAGCTAATAGATAGAGGAAAAAATTGTGGAAGACGAAAAGGAAAATGATGAGAAATGTGTGGAGAGTACCTCGAAAAGTGGAAGAGCAAATGTGTTGAAACTCATTAACAACATTTGCAAAAATATAAAGGAGAAAAATCAAACAAAAATACTATATTATAGAAAGGAGAAAGATACTTTTAAAGGGTAAAGTCATCACCATTTATATTGTTTCATAAAGTCAATAAGGATAAAAAATAAACTTTTCTAAGAGATCTAAAAAATTAATTAGACATTCATGATGAATGCATATTCTATGATTAATCAATGACTAATTTAACACAGAGTAGCCTATTAAAATTTACAACTGTGGTTTGAGAAACACATTACCAGGTATGTTCAATATTTTTAAATCTATGTATCCTAATTAAAATAATAATTAAATTTTCACTCTTATGGACATTGCTAGCATCTACAAAAACAAAACCTAAACAACTCAAATGAAGGCATATACATGGGGAGGGCCAATCTTAGTCAAAATTATTTATTATACTTTATTTTCAATTTTGCTATGAAACAAAAGTGATCTAAAACTAGTGTGTGTGTGTGTGTGTGTGTGTGTGCATTGAAATGACACATGTTGCATGCTTTTAAAATCTAGAGCTACATCATCAACTAAAACATCATACAATGGTTTTAACTCATAATTTGCCATGCCCAAACTGCCCCGATCCAATTTATATCTCCCAATAATTTTTGAAAATCATTTAATGTATGCAAATGATCTTTTCTTAATTCTACCTTTTGTGGTATAATTTGATTATATGTTATTTTAGACCCTAAATAATTTACTACCTCGTCTTGTTGAACCTTTTTTGGAGCTATACATAGACCCTTCCTTTGTAATACCCCCACCAAAATACTGTATGCCTCATGCAAAGTTTGCTCTTCCTTCGCCGCCAGGAGAATATCATCCATATAATGGAGACATTTCACAGTTGGAAAACTAGCCTGTAAGGGCTCCAAAGCAGCAGCTACAAATAATTGACACATACTAGGACTATTGGCCATACCCTGAGGTAGGACAATCCATTGATATCTTTTATCTGCTTACACCTGTGCTGCATCAACAAAGAGGCTGGCCTGTGCTGAGGGTGGCTGAGGAGTCCCCAGCCTGCAAGTCTGGGCCTTTCCTTTACATTCTATTTGCAGATCGAGGATTCTTCTAGCTTTGTGGTATGGTTGTGTTCTCTCCTAGGTGGGGCAAGTCTTTGTTCCCCAGAGGTGACCCTTAGAGTTCCACTCTGCTCCAGTGGGGAAGTTCAGTCATGGATGGTTTTAGACCAGAAAATGTAACTGACACGTTGAAGGGGGATTTTAGAGATTTTACCAAAGTTCTTACCAAAGTTCTCACCTGAGAAATCGACTTGATTTGGTCCTGGCTTGCGGGACCCAAAGCAAACTCCCGTGTTTATGATCAATTGAATCTCAACAAAATGCTGCAAAATCATTCTTAAGAACAATATTTTTAGCTATGGTGGTGCACGCCTTTAATCCCAGCACTCAGAGGCGGGCAGATCTCAGTGAGTTTGAGGCTAGCCTGGTCTATAAGAACTAGTTCCAGGACAATTTTTTTCTAACAAGAATTGATTCTGGGGAAATTTGGTATCCACACATGAAAAAAAAACAAGTGCTGGTGACTATGAAACACCACCAATAAAATTCACTCAGAATGCAACGTTAAAAGTATGAAATAAATGCGGAAATTCTAAGAAAAGGACATGGGCACACGCCGTTGTGACTGGAGCAGGCAAGACTTTGTGTTAGGACATTAAAGCCTAAACAGCTGAGCAGACTCCATCACCATGCGCAGCGTGCTTCAGACACCACCAAGGAGAGCAAGACAAGATGGCTAGAAGAAGAAAATACTGGCGCGTTCATGTGCCTGATGAAAACTCACATCCAAGACATACAAGGGACTACAAACACCAGCAAAGGGTTAATCCAATTTAAAGCCAGAGAAACAATCTATCTAGACCTATGAGGTACACTAACGGCCAATAGGCCCATGGAGACCCCTGTGCTCCACCTGTTAGGGGAATGCAGATGTGCCCCACACACCACGTCGAGGAAACCTGGTTCAGTTACAAAGGTGTAAAAAGAAGCTGGAGAGATGGCTCAGTGGTTAAGTGCATTGCCTGCTCTTCCAAAGGTCCTGAGTTCAATTCCAGGCAACCACATAATGGCTCACAACCATTGGTAATGAGGTCTGGTGCCTTCTGTTTCTTCTGGCAACAGAAAGAAGGAGCTAGAGAGATGGCTCAGTGGTTAAGAGCATTGCTTGCTCTTCCAAAGGTCCTGAGTTCAATTCCAGGAAACCGCATAATGGTTCACAACATAATGGCTCACAACCATGTGTAATGGGCCATAGGGCCAAAGGGCCATAGGGACTTATGGCCTATTATACATGGTTGTGTCTTTTATTTATAAAATTTTTAGTCACAATTTAATTTTTCTGCACTTTAGCCACAAATAATGCACTGTCACTAGCAAATGAGCAATCAACAAATTTGTAAAAAATTAAAACATTAAAGTCAAGAAGGGTCAACGTCTAGTGTGTCGAGGTCCCTGGGTAAGGGTAGTGAATAAACCAGGACACAGGGGATGCAGAGCAAAGGCAGCCTTGCAACTGCACTGCACGCTGCGCATTTATTAAGCAATCCTTTTAAACGCTTTGGAAACAATTGCTTCAGTCAACAGTTTTATCAAAAAGAGGAACTATAGATCATGAGTTAACCAAGGACTTATTTAAATTATGCACACAAAGCAGCTTAACGTGGCAAGGGTGGTCTGGGGGCTTGCAAGACATCCTGGCCTATTTTAAACAAGGGTCTGCAGAGACGTTATCTCACTGTCCCAATATATCCTAAGACTTCCTTCAGTAAGCAGAATAGCTGGTTCAAGCTGAGACTGTGCCTCAGGGCAGTCACTTCCACAAACCACGGGATATGTGGCACTTGCAACTTAGAAGTAAGGCCAGAGGACTTGTCACTCTGAAATGTTCCATAGCATTCCATGAAACTTCTCTTAGATTCCAACGCAGTACTCAACACCTCCCCTGGCATGGGTGACATGATCCCTGCATTTTATATCACAGTCTCCAAATCTCCACAAAGAAGGTATACCAGAAATAACAAACCTTAAACCAATATAAAGGCACCATTGGCAGCAAATGAAGATTAATAGCATATAGTTTCCTGTTTTAAAGACATTTTTATTTTATATGTAGCAATGTTATCTTAGGGTTTCTATTGCTGTGAGTAGATACCGTGAACATGGCAACTCTATAAGGAAAACATTTCATTGGGACTGGCTTACATTTCAGAGGTTTAGAGCACTATCATCTTTGGAAGATTTGTGGCAAGCAGGCATACTTGGTGCTGGAGAGGTAGCGGAGAGTTCTACATATGAATCAGCAGGCAGCAAGAAAGTGACTGCCTAACTAGGAGTAGCTTGAGCATCTGAATCCTCAAAGCCTTTCCCCAAACACTTCTTCCAACAAGCAGCATCTACTCAAACAACGCCCCACCTCCTAGTAGTACAAAGTGCTATGTATGGGCCTGTGGAGTCCATTTTCACTCACATCACCACAAGTGTCTTACCTGTATGCATATTAGTAATGACAGAAGTCACAAAATAATCCCACACCATTGAGAATTATGAATAATAAAAGGGTTATTTATTTAAAGGAAAAGCTTACAGATTACTGTCCTAGATAACAATCCTCTGCGTAAACAGAAACAGAGTCTAGTAGCTGGAAGTGGGAGCCAGAAGCAAGAGAGCAGGCACACATTTACAGCTGCTTTTACAGTTTAAGAGACCATGCCCAAGTGGGCTGGTATCTTAAAGGATATTGGCTGAAGAAACAGAATGTGCACCCACAGTACCTCTCCCTTTTGCTTAAATAAGAGAGTTCCAAACCCAATACAAAACTATATACACTAGGAACAGATATCAACTATAATTAGAATTACAACCAACATAAACAATATTAAACAAGGAACATATGCTAAATGATTAATAAACATTCTATCCTATGGAGTCTAAGTCTTGTATAGGAAATGGCTTGGATAGATCATATGAGTACAGTAACTATGATTATCTAATCTTCATCCCCATCAGAGGCCTGAGAAGGGAGATAATATTACTTGAGCAGGCAGGAAGTACAATCAAGCAGCTTCCAAAGCAAGCAATATATGACAGAGACAATTAGCTACCTGAGCAATCACCCAAAGTCTCATTTTGCAATGTTGAAGCAACCAACTTTGGCTAAGGCCTAGCATAACTGACAGATCATTTTTAGAGGCAGGAAAATTTTCAGAACTGTCTTACCCTGTGTTGGCAAGATTTGACAGCCTTTTTCCTTCTTTCTTGCTTATCCATTTCTAGATACCATGTACATTGTCA